TGCCGGGTACAGGAGGGTCCCATCTGTGGTGGACTGAAAACTGGGGTATCCAGTGCTGTAGTTCTGGTTCATCCAAGCACAATTAAAAGGGGAATCCCTTCTTAAAATGAGAATGGTTGTTTTAAAAAAATAGGTACTTGTTTAGAATATTTGGAAGGGTTCATTTGGACTGGTGAGATCATTCTTTGAAGCCTTCAAAGCAAAAGGGAAAAGCCAGGGGAGAACATCCCTGAAAGAGAACGTTCCACCAGCCAGAACATGGTGCAAACAGCTGTGATCCTTCCTTGGCCAGATAGCCACTTCCTTTGTAGCCAGATAGTCAGGTGCACTGGCCTGAGATTGCTGGAGGTTGTTTTTGTTCACCTCTCATTTAGTGCTTGTTGAGACAAATTTCAATCAGGGGTGTGACGACCACCCTTCATTTTTCCATTACCGCTTCACGTCAGAATTAGAGCTCTTTGTTTATGCCCCTGCTGATAGATAGTATATGTCGTATGTAGCCGTGTTCTTATTTATTTTTTTTACTTCCTTTAGAATGCAGAACAAAGCCAGTCACAAATTCCAAAGGAAACGGTAAGAGCTTTGTCTTTTCCATACTGGAAGGCTCCCAAATGTTTTTAAGTTGATATGGCACTTCTTCGTCAAAGTTTCACAGATCCTCCTTTCACCTTATATACTGTAGATGGCTCTCTCTAGCTTTACATTTTAAATGCGTTTTTATAATGTAATTTCAAATACTGTTTGAATATTATATACAATTCAATTACTATGTACATTCAAATGCTATTTGAAATTACATCTTTTATACACAGCCGAAGGCCTAAAGTTAGAATGGTAAGAGTAGTGTTAGTTTGGGTTACTTGTTGAAGCTAATTGTTTAAACCATGATATATGACTGAAACCTGAGATACAAACACAGAAGTTAGGCAGTTTGGATTTAAGTCTCAATTGTATCCTCATAGCACACCACTGTTTGTTAGTTATTTTAAAGAAACTATAGAGAAGTAGTATCAAGCCCTTGGAAGGTTTGTAAGTGATGTGTCAGTGAGGCTGCGTATTGAGGTTGTATACTGTTTATATACTTAATTTAGTCAGTGGAACAGGATCAGTCTTAATACAGATTATACTAAAACACGTGAAAAGTTTTTCTAAAATAAAAAAGTTTACTTTATGAAATATTAATAGAAGCTATAACAGTAATATATTACCTTAAATGTATACTGCATCTTAGTTAAAAATATACTTCAGGAAGCTCCATCCAATTAGGTGCCTATTTCAAAATTAAATAATAAATTAGGTTATGGAGAAATTAAGAGGATTTGTGCTGGGATTTAAAGTTACTTAGACAAGCTGCTGAAAAGCAGAAAAAGCTATTCCACATGATTCAGAGTGCCTTACCAGCAATGATGAGATGGTATCTGGGGGAAAAAGAAAGTCAAGACTAGGTAAAGAGATGTAAGAGCCATCTCAGCAAGATACTCCAGGATACATTGGTTGACACCAATGAGTATTTTAGGCCAACGGAATGTAACTGCTAAAACGGGCGTTTGGGTTGAATGTGGCAATATTTGCTTTTAGCCCTCTGGCTTTTGATGTCCTTCTAGTCTGAAAGGCATCTGCATAAGGGCTCTGCAAAGTCGTGGGTGTATCATTGTTTCAGACATGCCTCGCAGTTATCTTCTTAGTACATCTCATTAGTGCATGTATGTTCTTATCTTCATAGTTTCATACCACATACGGCTGATATGTAAGGAGATCAAAGATCAAAGCCCAGGACAGTATTTCTGCCTGTAATTGAATACGATTGAAAATAATTTGTGGGTGCAGCCTTACAAAAGTGTCCTGGTTTTAGGAGTTGAAATTCTGCCCCAAAACCTCATTAAGATTAGGGAGATTACCTACAAAGTGTTTTATATAAAGCAATTGCTCATCAGTTGCAAAGTTAATGTTTTGTAGCAAATTCCACGGTGGAATCCTTTCTCTGACATTTTTGGGACCAACTCCTGACTTCATCTAAGCAAAGACCAAAAGAAAATAATGATCTCTCATTGGTTCTCTATAGATGTGAGCTAAAATTTGCTTTTAACCAGGGGATTATACAAGAGGGACAGGGCAACGTATGAGTAGCTAGGGATTTCTGAAAGACCAGCCAGAAGGCCCTGGCAAGCCTTGGAAATAAGGACGTGAACTGGGAAGCATGTGGAGACGTATTTGGTTGTTGAGGGAATGAAGCTAGAAAGCTGGTCAATACAAAAATGTTTTTTGCAGAACGTCTTGGGTTTTTCATTCATTATGGAATAGGGGTTTTTTTTGTTAATTCGAAGGCTGAGAGCAACCAGTGATCAATAGTAGGAGCAAGAGATCTCTCTAAATTTTCCTACCTCTGTATGGGAATAAAAAATGGACTAAATGCCGAAGGTGTCAGTGGGTATTTATAATACACAATGCTTTTGCACTTACCTTCTTCCAATCTTTCTTTGCTTTGGATGAGTGTGATACTCTAGTTCTACAGAACTAATTTTCCTCAGCTGCACATTAATAATACAGTCACACACTTCTTTTTATTATTATTTTTGAAAGTATTTTTCATTGCTTTCCTTTATTCTCCTTGGTTCTGCCTCAATCCCTATTTATTCCTCCTTGTCTACTTTTCAGGTCTTTGAGATTTCTAATCTTGCAATTTCTATTTCTGTGCCTGCTCTGATCTTTGTGCTGTTCGTTGTGAGGTTTTAGGCTCCAAGTGTCAAGGACTTGATAGTAGAAAGCAAAGCAAAAAAATAAGAAAAAAAAAAAGCATGATAAAAGCAGTGAAGCTGTAGAAATGAGAGACAGGTGAAATATAAGGTCTGTTTTTAATTTAAAGGCAAAATGGTTGTGGGGGTTTTTTGTTGTGTTGTCTTTGTGAGGAATAGAAGAAAAATGCACCTTTGCAATTAAGAAAGAAAATAAACCTTGAAAATTGAAGGCCTGAAATAGCCTTTAAATTTTGGAGTCTACATATAAATGTTAACTTATCAACACATTATTAACACTCAGGTGTTATGTTCATGAAACTGTTACTTTGAAATGGTTTACAGTAATATTGTAGCACTTGGATGCAGTAGTTAAAGAGTCTTCATAGATGTAATAAAAGAAAACCTTGAAAATTAGGGGGTTTTCTTAAGGTATTTGTGGCCTGAACTCCTTGAGAAAGAGTTATTTCTTACTACCCATATAGGAAAGTGTATGACTTCATATTTTGCACACCATCTCAAGATACAGATCCTAATATTCTAATTCTTGAATGTCCATATGAGGCGTTTTTGTAACTTGCTAAGCTCGCAGAAGTCAAGCTTTGCTCTCCCGTTATCCGTAAGAAATGCAAATTGCTAATGCATCTTCAGCTCTATCCAGTAACTGTGCCCTAGGGAAAAACGGTGCTGCTGGTTTTACCTTCTGTTTTGCTGACGAACGGAACCAGTGCTCTGTTTACTCCTGAAGCAGGGAAATCTCCTGTATCTCAGTTGAAAGATTGTTTCACCCAGCCATGAGTTCGTACCATTTTATAGCTGATGACAACCGGGAACAGATGCACCTATTTCTAAACATGGTGATTATTTGGAATGTAGGAGATTGACCGTAATATGAAAGCTAGTAATTTATCATTATTACATTTCTGTTTCTAAGCATAATTATCTTAATCTTGTTACAGAGCATTGAAATGAACTGTTAATTATGCTATGTAAAACATCTGCCAATTAATTTTTCCTCATACTCTTTGAAAGTCAATAGTGTTTCAGTAATATTTTGCTTTTACAATTGTCATTCACTGTTTGTTGAATTCAAACCAGCAAGTTAACTTTCATGCAAGCATGATGCTAGAAAAATAATAATTATCATATACGTAGAGTATTTTCTAGGGAGTGTTGTCTGTTGGTAAAAAGAGGTTCAAAGTTAGGATTCAGGATTTCATTTCATGATTGTTGTGCTCAACAGCATGGGAAAGCTTCAGTTTTCTATTCTCATTTGTTTTTCTGTCAAATTGCTGTAAGTGAGCAGAATGTTATGAATTTTAGTGAGTGCAGGATTTGTAGCAGTGACATAACAAGAGCGGTTGGTGTGTTGTAACAATACATAAAGGTTTAGCAGCCCTGATCGAAATTGCAAATAGATTGCTTTTTATTTTCTTCTGAACTCAAACATCTGATACTCCTGTTATGATCTAAATTTCATTTTGATCACCGTGTTTTTTCAGAATCAAGGATGATGTCATGGCTAAACCTGTCAGTATTATTGGATTCAATTGCTGCTCTTGCCATAGACTTTTCTTTGTGTTTCTGAGTAAATTAGCTACACTTTTTATGCAAGAATTCATCACCTATAGGAATGGGGTGGTAATACCAACTCGATCAGAGACATTTTATAACAATTAATGCAAATTTATTTTTTGTACACTTTTTGTTTGCAACTAGCTGTGTTTATTACTTTTGGTGAAAAGCTGTTTGTGTTATTTCAAGATAAGCAGTCACTGTGTACATATCCATAATTGTTTTTCAAAAGCTGTACATTAAGTTCCCACCACTTCATATTTAGCACTTACGCAGGACTTCAGCTTTCATAGCAGCTTCGTGTCATTCAGTTGATGCAACTCTTCCTTCGCACAGAACCTTCTTCGGAAAAGAGTTTAGAGCTTCATCAATTTCCATTGCTGCAATAGGTGATCCAAATGTCTAAAAATTGAGCCAAGATCGTACGTTTGACTAATACCAGCCAACACCACCAGCAGTGCTGATAACATTGGCTCCAGGGAGACCTCATTGTGGCCTTCCAGTACCTGAAGGGGCCTACAGGAAAGCTGGTGAAGGGACTGTTTATCAGGGAGTGTAGTGACAGGACAAGGGGTAATGGGTTTAAGCTGAAGGAGGGTCGATTTAGATTAGATGTCAGAAAGAAAGTCTTCACTGTTAGAGTGGTGAGGTACTGGAACAGGTTGCCCAGAGAAACTGTGGATGCCCCATCCCTGGAAGTGTTTAAGACCAGGTTGGATGGGGCTTTGGGCAACCTGGTCTAGTGGAGGGTGTCCCTGCCCATGGCAGGGGGGTTGGAACTAGATGATCTTTGAGGAACCTTTCTGTGATTAGATACAGAATGAATTTATCAGAAGAGGTTTGGCTGATGATGAAGCTGTTGCTGTTATTTCCTCCATGGTGTTTAGGAATATTGCAAATAACTGGTGCTGATTATTTTTATACCTTTTTATCTTCTAATGCTGTAAGGTACAAGGGTGATTACAATGTATTTTTTTAAAAAACCATAGAATCATAGAGTAGTTTGGATTGGAAGGGACCTTTAAAGGTCATCTAGTTCAAACCCCCTACAATAAGCAGGGACATCTTCAACTAGATCAGGTTGCTGAAAGCCCCATCCACCCTGACCTTGAATATTTCCAGGGATGGGGCATCTACCACCTCTCTGGGCAACCTGTTCCACTGTCTCACCTCCCTCATCGTACAAAATTTCTTCCTTATATCTAGTCTGAATGTACCCTCTTTTAGTTTAAAACTGTTACCCTCGTCCTATCGCAACAGGCCCTG